TCTGCCCTATCCTGTCAATAATAATCTTCGTAATCAGCATGCTCACTACCCCTCCCCCTCCCCGCCCCTACAGCCTTGCAGATGAAACTTTGCAAAGAAGATGATCAAATCGATATCGATCAACGACGTCCAGTAGTCCGCGATACCCGCCCGTCCTGAAGGTGTATGTGCCAAGTTTGGTCCGAATCGATTTAGAAATAGAAATTTCTATTCGAACGTACCTATCTACGCACCAACAGGTATAGTCCCCTCCGCAGATCGTGCCACCCTTGGTCTGCGTCTCAGCCTGCCACGTGTGCCTATATGTTGGCAACGTGGCAACAACATGTTTGCAACATGCCCAACCTGTTGGCAGAACATTTTGGCCACGCCAACATGTTGCTGCATATTGCCAACATGTTGCTGCATGTTGCCAACGTGTTGCTGCCAACGTTGCCAATGTGTTAGTCACACGTGGCACGTCCGCGACGCCACAAGGGTAGCACGATCTGTGGAGGGGCGATAGATGAACAAACAGACATTGAGTTTATTATATGCGGATGAAAGTTGACTTAATTTAGTTTGGCAGACACACTAGGCTCAGTCAAAAGTGGTGAGAATATTCCCATGATAGACGAGTGCTCTAAAGGTGTTCAATGCAGCTTTTCTTCTTATTCCCAGCCTTGGTTTACTCAATTGTTTTTTAACATAGTTGCGGGAAACTCTCCGAAATTTTGACCCCATCCTTTTCGCCTTGTTTAACTTCGCTGATATTCAGGTTTATCACTCCAAATTTTTTGTGGTACAAGGACTTTGGATTCAAAACTTCTGCGATCGTTCCATTAGTTACAGAAGGATACAGTGAATTGTCTGCAAATACTAAGGAACAACTGCGTCTGGCGCAGTACAGCCGTTCAGAGCATTTCTCTGTCAGTCTTATTAAAAGGTCAAAGAGAGGTGTGAAGTTCTCACTACTGTTCATCTTTTCGAATCCTGTAGTTATGAACGGTAGTGCTGAAGGAAAACACGGTCATCATTTGAGTCACGTCAGCTCAGCTAAGCAAGACCTTTGAGATATCCTTACATCATTCAGCTTGAAATTGTCATGCATTGTCGCAAAATCGTCTTGTTTATGAGTTCTCAGAAAGCAGTTTTGCCCCGGAAATTGCACATTCCTGTCGTCGGCTATTGTGTTCTGTGGTGTGCAAAATTGAGGCTACAAGTGCCCTTCATGAAATTCTATGGTATAGGAATGTTTTCATACTTATTTTGAGTGGCTACATCTATCCATGGACATGAAGTACCACTGAAATTCATGAGGAACTATCTGCTACCCCTCCTTGCATCGCTTCTCTCATTTCGTTTCCATTTTGCATGCATAGCAAGCATTTGCTAGACCTTTTCTAAAAGTCATTTTGGATCTTTATCGCGTCATCTATGACATTCATGGCTTTCTTGAGTGGGTGCCGTCATAATGGTCTTTTCGAAGAAATGTGAATAGGATGGCCTGATATCACATTCCATTGAGTATATCATGGCATTTGACGAAGCACGATAGCCTCATGCTCAGCCGCGTCGATCGATACTGGCGACGCTGGCGTCGTATGTTTTCCCGCCGCTTTTTCGTTTCAAATCAGCATTCTTTCGTACAGTCGAAATTAGCGTAGATCGCCAGGATAATCTAGCTCTTTGTGTACAATTGTGCCGTGACATTAGGCATTTTTGTTCGGTATGTGCGTTGAATAGATGTGAGTCATTTGTTTTCTCTCATTCTTGTCCATTTCGAAATACACTTTCACATTATGTTTATATGTGTCATCCTCTGTGTCATTTCGAATTCTGTTTTTTGTGTAAAAGACTGGAGAGGCTTCATGGTTTTAACGCTTTGAACGGTTATCGATTTCCCTTCCTTACTAGATCTTCAATGTTACTTCACTTTTTCTAGACATGCTTTTTAGGACATATCGAAATCTGGACCTTGCACAACTGGTATACTTTATTATGTGAAATTCAGTCTCTGGTGAACAAATTCCGGACTAGATTGGGAGGAATGTTGGCTCGTTCTTTACCATTGTTGTTTTTTGAAGTACACGTTCGAAGTGCTTAGTTTCCATCAGGTTCTGGTTTCAGTGGATGTTTAGCCTTTCCGCATTCTAGCATTTCCTTGAACGGGTCTCATATTTCATTCAAAGCGGAGGTACAAGATGTTTTTTATTACAAAGTACTCAACTACCTTAGTATTGATTTCTTAACTTCTGTTTTTCTTTCAAGAGTATTCTTCCCGACACAATATATCTACGTTTTATTTATGGATTAGACACGACATATGTAAGATGCCAATAGTCAGAGGTTCATGCACACCTGAAAATTTGACGAAGACATATTTTTATTCCCTTTTAGAAAACATTCGGTGTTTTCGAGGTTCATGTTTCAGTACCCTCACGATTTTTTGAAGATAGCTGTTGATCTGATTATTGACTGCCTTTTCTGATTAGTGTTTCTAACCTGACGATCAGACAGAGGTACCCGTAAAATTGCAATCTCATCAAATCAAACCGTGAACTCAGATGCGCACATCATATGTTTGCATGATAGACCCCATTTTCAAAAGGACTTTTTTGAGCTAAGTTAGTATGCAGCCAGGGATAAAGCGTTTGAAGTGCCGTGGTCTTGCATAAAATTTTAATCAGCGCCGCAGGAACATCGTATGCAATCATCAGTGCAATATAGTGGTTTGTTTTCTTTTCAAACCTACATCTGACATAATATTCGTAATCGAAATATAACGAGGTGATCGAGTAGTGCTGGATCCTTTGTTGAAGTATCTGTGGGAATATAGATGAAAGCTCACGTAATATCTCTCATATGCATTTACCTGTTAGATTACACATCCTTATGCTCTTACACCGCAGAGTATAATGTTAAACTGATTAAAAAAAAAAGAAAAAAAAGAAACTCTAGATTGTACAAGTGCGCGTCTGTTCCATGTTTCCCTCTTTTCTCTGATCTTCAAGAAGTAAATCTTAGAAAGATAAGAAAGTCCAGGTGCGAAGAGGAAAATTGAACCTTGTTATAGCGCTGCGCCCAAATTTCCGGGATCACGGGCCATTGAGCTTGGTGATATTTGAGAATGCAAGCGTTGCTCGGAAATTCAGCCTGACTTTAGGAAAATCCGGAAATTTTTTGTGCTTGTGCTTTTTTGTTACGACTTTTTACAGCAAAATTGTGTGCAAGTGGAAAGTTGCAGCGAGCATAGCTTTGTCGAAAGCTCTTGATTATCTCTTGAGAATCTGATTTCGAAGAAACGCGAACTTTATTAACGAAAAGATCTGAAGACTTGTCAAGTGCTGTGTAGTGGTGAGGCGGGGGTCTACAAAAAATTGTATAAAGAATGGGATCCAACAACACCTTGCACCACTGGGTAAAGATCTTGCAGTTTTGGAGAATATTTTCAAACTTACAGCGAAGTCGGGTAATTTTATCGTCTTTTCGGATGAGGCACATTTGTTCGAAATCAGCTTGCGCAGATTCCAAATATGCTGTTTTTAGTTGCGGGGCATTATTCTAAAGCGACTTATGAGCTTTTTTTCTGTGGGAAATTGGCATACTATCTGACATGGAAATCTGCCATAAAACGGTGCTGGGATACTATAATAATATCAGATTGAGTATTTTGTCATTGACAAGAAAGTCAACGCAGTAAATCAGCACTCATAGATGATACCATAATACCCCGTAGGGCAAAGACGATGCATATTTTGCGCAGAAAAAATCGATAACCCTCTTCAGGATGTGCCGACCTAGAAATAGCACATTCGGAATCAGCGTTCGAAGATGATCCCAAGTATTTGTGTCTCATCTCAATACACGAATCTAAGTTGTCTGACTATTCTTGTTAGTCCAGGTGGTTTAGCCGATTTATCTACCGGATGTTAGGGTAAAAAGAATCTATACCATCTGTTAGTTGGCACCTTCTTTTTGCGACTCCTCAATATCCTTCTCTGGAAAATCTCTGATGTGCTAGAGGTTTTTTGCCATTTGCGACAAGATGTGCCTATGCTTGAATTTTCGGAGTGCTTTTTCTCCAAAGGAGATCAAGCAGATCAATCTGTTTTTTTTTTTCTCCCAGACTCGCTTGTTGTGTGTATTGACAACTCTCATTAGCTTTACCAAAATAGTTTGGAGTTGCGCTGACTTTCTATCTTGTGAAATAAGAATTCGGATTGTGTAGATCCACTCTACCAAAGCCAAATGAGATTACTCGTCTGCAGAGATTCGCCGATTCCGTGATGACTCTGGTGCGTATTGATCGATTGTTGCTTGGGTGGGCGATGCAGCGGCCAGCGTCCTCCCACTCCGACTAACCGCTGCGATGTGTCATCAACTCGCACATTATCTGAAGCTCTTCTCCTTGTTGAATCTTCTAACCAACATACTGTACTAAAACATGCCTTTGAATTTGATAATAGCTCCTTTTTTCCGCGGTTGTAGTTCCTCTTTTGCTCCACTATTCTGAAACGCTAGCCCCTTTTCCGCGCGTGGAGTACTTTAGCTGAAAAGTTGCAGAATAGGTTAACTGGCAGTTTCATGCACATCTTTTTTTGCATCATCTCATCTCTAACAGAAAGAACTGTGGGATTTTTTCATCAACTTTTGTTACTGAACACAGCTCATGTTACAAAGATGTACATTCGCTCGAACACGTCACAGCTCTCTCGCATAAACTCAATTTGACTGAGGGTATTTTATTTTGCGAGTGGCAGTCCTCAGAGGATCGCAATTGGCTTCCTTCATCTATACTGGATCCGTATCCAACCTCGACCTTCATCGCCTCTTCGCTTACATTCATCAGTCTGATGCACTTTTGATCTGATTATGTCGTGCACATCGGTCAGCGAACCTCTTTTTTTTTCGTGAAGCATCGTTTTGGTTGCACGCTGTTCGTCCTTTTATGCATTCAATTTCATCGTTTTCTTGCATTCAGGGATTCTGCACGGGTTGTCCCTCGTTAGATAGTAATTATGGCTGCAATCAGAAAAAAGGTTTGCTCTTCTCAAGTTTCGGCAAGCCGACCGTGCACAGTCATTTGCATAATCATTTCAGCTGGTAATTGTGGGCGATGGAGCCTGCGGAAAGACTTGCCTGCTGATCGTCTTCAGTAAGGATCAGTTCCCAGATGTGTACGTACCTACCGTATTCGAGAATTACGTAGCTGACATAGAAGTTGACGGGAAGCAGGTACAGTTCAAGTCTATCAGTTTCTACGTTTTTAGATGTTTACGAAATTTTGCGATATGCGGCTTTGAAAAGAATAGCTCTGCGTTATATCTTGGTATATGAGTTTTCTTTCTTTAGTTCTTGTCTTTCAGGTAGAGCTAGCTTTATGGGATACCGCAGGTCAGGAAGACTACGATCGCCTCCGTCCACTTTCCTATCCCGATACCGACGTGATACTCATGTGCTTCAGCATTGACTCACCCGACTCCTTGGAGAATATACCTGAAAAGTGGACACCAGAGGTGAGATGTCGTTTTCGTGACTCTTTACTTCCTTATTGGCTATTCAACAAAACTTTCTTTCTATTCTTCTACCTCTACTTACTAGATTTGGTTTTGATGTATAGGAGTTGGTAAGCTCCATATGTTTTGAATCAGATTAGAATGAGTGCCATCGAATACAGTAATTTGAACAATGCAACGCATAGTTCACGTTTTTCACCAAATAAGCCTGTTACCATGCTATCGAACAATGATAGGATATGTACACTGCAGTGTTATCTGAAGTTAAGAAGTCCGTGATCTTCCCAATCATAAAAGAGGAACTAAGTATGCATGTCCAAAAGTAACTAAAGACCATTGATACAGATGATGTAATGGAAATCGCAGACCGATTCCTTTTTTCGCTTCATAACTTCTCGCTGCAATTTCCCGTGACCATTCTGGACCGTTAATCCAAAAAATCTTCTGCTAAAGTTACTGCGTATAGGCGATCTTTGATCAACGTTTTGTTATCAGTTGCTTAGATCTTTAGTATTACGGGTGATTTTTTGGCTTGGATTGTTGCTTTGTACATTAGGGCGCAACCGAAAGGGCATTGGATATTTTGTGTCGAAATTCCATACTTACAGGTGCGGCATTTCTGTCCGAACGTTCCCATAATTCTTGTTGGTAACAAGAAAGATTTACGAAATGATCCTCAAACAGTTCGTGAACTGGCTAAGATGAAGCAGGTATGTCTTCAAGCACTCGTTTTCTTTGTTCAATAACTCGAATGTATACCGGTTGCAAGAAGCTGTTGATCAAGGCATGTCAAAGCTCACTGCAGTGTGTAATGCAAATGTGATATCAGAAATTTAAGTGTTTAATCTGATGTAGCTTTCATCTTGATCTTGATACGTTCTTCTTCCTTTGTTTAATCTAGTTCTATCTGGAGAGCAATAGCTTGTAAGCTCAGTGCTTCCAGGAATACTCCGAAATTTTTTTTCAAATCCATAAAAATTCCCGTAGTGAACATGATTGACTCAATACGGATGTTTTGGTCCTCTCGTTCAGTGAATTCTGTTTTAGGAGCCAGTGAGACCAGAGCAAGGCCGCGCGATAGCCGAACAGATTGGTGCTTTTGCCTATCTCGAGTGTTCTGCGAAAACCAAAGATGTAAGTGTATACATGCGTATGACGCCAAGTTTTATCGAAGATTTTCCAATTTTCGCGCATTCGTTAGCATATTTCTTCGCATTCATTAGATCATATCTTTTGCGTTAGGCAAGAATATCGTGCATTGATGTTTCTAATTTTAAGAGACTGTTAGAAAGTTCTAAAATCTCACCAATTTTAGGGTATCCGTGAAGTATTTGAAAAGGCCACGCAAGCTGCACTGCAACAGAAGAAAAAGAAGAAGACCAAGTGTGTGTTGCTGTAGAAGAGTCTTCACAACGCTTCGCTTGTTTCGTCTCACCTCGTATGCATCATCACTGTGACTACGCGACTTTTATTGTTGTACGAGGAGGAATCTTTTTTGATCCCGTGTAGCTCTCTGCTCTTTTCATCCCCACCCTGCGATCTGCCAAGGTGCTGCCGGCCCTAGCTATCGACTACTTCTCCAATTTCTGATCTTTGATTTGGTAATTTACGCACCAAATATCGTCGTTATCAGATTACCATCCGCTCCGCCGACACCCTTCTTCATCATCATTGGCCTCCTGTTTAGCTTTTTCGTCATCCATCATGTATTCTCTGGCTATATGTCAAAGTTCAGATGTTAAAATTTGCATTGTAACAATTACAGTTCTCTTATCATTTTATTCGAGATGAATGATTAATAATGATCTAATTTCTCCAAAAAAGAATCTCTATCTTCATTGCTTCGGTCTAGAAGGTGGTGCTCAGAAGAAACTCTCGAGAAGTTGTTCGTCTGCGTCAACGGGAATCGTAACGGTTAAGTTCTCATTCTGGAAATAATTTTAAGTTCTCATTCTGAAAATAATTATCTGTCGTTTGGTGCGCTTATTCGAATATCTGGTGTCAACTAATTAGCTAAGCATTGCTGGAATATTTTGATTGTGCGTATCAAAAGGATTTAACGGCATTGGCGGCTGAAAGGCGACCGCTCGCGCCTGTAACGCAGTCTGTGTCTCCCTCGCGAGCGTGCTCTCTAGTTAGTCTCTAGTCTTGATTAGCCTCGAAGCCGTGCCTTCCAGGCGCCATCCCGTTGAATTAAAGGTCTCTACTATGGAGAAGATTTTTGGACTATTGGGTCCGATCTCTCAGATATAGCTTTCAAGAAGAAAAGATCAATAACCATATTGCTTTTGTAGTATAGTTTTATAGTGTAGTTTTAACGCATTTCGTCGATGACAAACTTTTACGAACCTGTGCTTGCGTCCTAGTTATTGCTTCTCGTGCCTTCTCATTACCCGACCAACTTCGTCTCGCTACCCCATTAGCGACGTCCCATTGAAGCATTCCTTTTGCACGTTCTGCTGCTTCCTAAATTAATCTCCCTTCAAGGTCTGTAAAGGTTGCACTGCTGTTAATAGACATTCGATCCATCCAAAAGCATTCCGAAACCGCCGTTGATGACATCACCCCATCCGACTCCGCCACCGTTATGAAGTGACACCCATGTTGCACCACGGAAGGAGTCTCCTGTAGATTTTTTTCGAATTTCTTAATGATAAATTCGCACCATGCGTACCGATGACGTTCTGAACGGCCATATCTGCTGTTACAGCGCTGCCATCGTCAATGTTCGATGTTTCACGGAAAGGCGAATCCGTTCCCGACACATCATGATGATCTCGAGATAAAACGATCGGAGCCTGCACTGTGTAAGAATATGAGAAAACACAAAAAAATGGGGAGCTGTGGGTTCAAGTGCAGGCAAAATATTGGAGAACGAACGATTTATAAAAGTTACAGGACATATTTTATAGTTTGTTCCGAGCCAAAAAGTTAGTATCTTTCACCAACTCTTCTCCTCACATCCTTTTGCTCACTGGAAAATGCCCAAAGAATCACTTCCACGAGTTTGCAAGACTACAATTCTCTATGGAATTCTGGATTCATGTGAGAAATTTCATCAGAGCAGGTGGGAAAGTCCCACAGGGTCTCGCGCAGATATGAAGAACTCCACGGGATTTTTGGTGGTTTGAGCTCCTTGTTTTTGATGTAAAGATATACACGAACATCCCCGTCTTCATCACTCTGCAATGTGAGGAAGTATTTATCTTTTTCCTAGTCTTCAATTTATCAAGTTGCTTTGCCACACAGTGTAAATTTTTACTAATTTTTCTTCTCCTAGCTCGTCAATTTTGGAAAATACAAAATGCGATCTTTGTTTTGTAGTTCAATGCAGTTACCTCAGAAAAGTGGTAAACAAATAGAACGATGTTCTTACCCGTGCTACCGTGGTACCCTCTATCGAATTTGCTGTTTTCATTTGCAGTCACTCAAAGAAACAGGAACGCACCGAGACTCGTCCATCTCTGACAGCATCGTTGAAGGCGAGAGCGATAGCAATTCGTCCCTCTTGGTCAGAATAAAGTATTCTCGCTTGACTTCCGACAACAAGATGATTAGCTGCCGCGTTCTCAATCCATTTCTTGTTGTCGAAGTATTGTTGTCGCACATGCTCCGGAACTGAAACACAAACAAATGACGCTATGATGAGGGAGTGGGACAGCAATTTTTTTCGGAAGCTGTCACCCCCTATCATCATTGCAGAAAAATAGCAGAGCGGTTTTTTCGGTCTATAGTGTTTCTGATTGCTGACAATATTTATGCGTAAACCATATTAGTATGCGCTTCAGGCGCAAGTCGCAAGCAAATTGTCGGCATTTACAAGCACGCCATTTGACACCGCGCACATGTTGTCGTCACCGCAAGGGCACTGCTGCAATGCTACTGCATTCGCCAGAGTTACTAGCTCTTGACTACTGTCATGTTTTATGCAGAACTGTGTGTATTCACAAGATGCTTGGTATTCCAAGAGTGACTTGAACCTTATGTTTCATTCTTTTTGGACACATATAGGTTCCAACGGGTGTCAGTGATCATTTCTCAACCTTCTGTCCCAGTGAAGAAATTTTTGACTGTTCATCACTAGGAAATCTGAAGTGCCGCAAGTAATGGAAATCTCACATGTTGGGTTGCAAATATGTGCTAAGGTCTGCTGCTGAGCGAAGGCGCAGGGCCCACAGAAGCAAACGCGGTTCATCTATACACCCTTAGGGGGAAAAGACAAGGCTCACAACGACTACTTCGCGCTCGCGCCATTTTACTCAAGTTTCTATTCCTTTGTTCGGTATAGGCATTATGTGGTAGGCGTCTTTACTCCTCTTTTTGCTTTATTTTTTGAAAGTGCGTTTTTGAACCGCTTCGAATTTACCGTCATTCTTCATTAGTTTTCCTATAACTTCCGCGGCAATCTTGTCGGTTTCATCGAGGTCTTCCGGTTTTTGCGAAGTACAAACCCAGCGGAACGGTCCGAATCCCATCGAGAAGATATCACTGAAATGCGAACATCAAATCAAAAAAAACCCTGAAATTCTTCTGCATTCTCCATATTAACACTCAAATTACTCAGCATTCAATAAAATTGATGCACTAGTCGTGCTGCAGCTTTCATTTCTGCATAGTTGTTGCTTTCTATGGCAGTAAATTTGTGTCAGACGAGGTCGTTACGTATAAATTGGGATCAATATATACGTTATGCACATCTAACAGTTGCTGTCGCAGCATTTTTTTGGTAAGGGGAGGAGAGCTACGCTAGATAGTCACGACTATAATTTTTCCGGAACGCAGTTACGCATGGACTTGGAAAAAATCTTTAAGGGTTAAGTCAACTTTTCGAAAATTTGCTAACATTTTAGTATTTACTCACAAATAAAAACATGATACTAGCCTTTTCTCTTTTTTTTACAGGAGGGCTCCCCCCCCCTCCCTCGCATCCACCCTGTTTATTACTAATGGATGCTGTTTTGAGAATAGGAGAGCCTCAATTCTATTCTTTCCGTTTTAATTTTTTATCAACGTATGTTTGAGGCTGCGTCCAGAGTTGCCCGTGCCAGCGACGTGCTAGCGCCGTGCCGAACCGTTATCGATTGAAGCGAGGAGCTGGTACGTTCAAGCACTTCCCTTCATATTGGAAGTTGCTTGAATGTGAACTGATATTGTGATGCTGAAGACTGTTTGCCGTAAGGCTGGGTCAGGATATTGAGCTTTTGAGTGGATGCTGATATGAACTGTTGAAAATTACCAACAAATCTCCATTTCTGCTCGGCTACTGCAAAGTTATGTGTTCTTCCCTCCCAATACACCGCTAGATGTTTGCAAAGACTCTGCAAGCCATGTTGTCTGCAGCTAAAGTATGTGTCTGCCTTACTTGATCAAATGAAAAAGCTTGAGTGACGACAGTGTCTAGCTCATCTGTGTAGGCTGATTAGATTTCCTTCGTCAATGCCAGATTGAATCTCTTTAACACTCATGCCAGTGACTGATTAAGACGGGGGAAACAATGTGAGGGCCACAAAACTCTCCTATTAATACTTCTCTGATCGCGTGGAATGAGAAATATAATCGCCTATGATCGATTCATCTGCCATATTGGAGTTTTGATGTTGAACTACTTACCTCGCAATTTTCAAACTGCGAAAACTTTTTCGAATTACCCCACAAAGTTTTGGAGAACTTATGATGGAAAACGCCATGTTTTTTGCTAACTGACAGTCGAATTTCACTTCAATGCACCGGTGAGAAAATGTGGGAAGTTAGCCGTAGAGCACGTTTGGTTTTTTGACATTCTGGGATGTGAAAGCCTTCGAGTTCCGGTCTGCTAACCAGCTAATAATAAAGATCCATTGTCGTGCCCTCAGGAAGCAAACTTTCGCTCAATAAGTCTGTTATGTGCCTATTGCACCTTTCTCTGTACCTCTTATATCAGATTGTAGCGAAAGTCTTTTTTTTGACGATTAGGAAACCCCGCATAACAATGATTGAGGCATTCAATCAACCATATATTCGACGCTTTTCCTTCTCTTTCTACTGGTTGCGTTCGCCAACTAAAATCTTTGGAATGCATCCAGTAACTGTCAAAATCTCTCAGCCGGTATTTTGATCAAGGACTTTCACGAATTTAGAAAAAAAAATTTTTGCTCCAGATTCAGAGAGTAAGTGCCAAGAAAATAAAGCTAATGTCGAAATATACAGCAGTACTAATTTGTACTTCAGTCTACTTTTTGCAGCTTCACAGAATTTCGCTCTTGGACTCTCGATTTCGGTAAACATGGGACACACGCAGCACAAGCGCGAATTTTGATTGTTAATAGTCATTTATGCGGATATTTTTGAGTTAAGTTCGTCTCGATAGATTGAGATGTTCGCTATGCTCGTGCCTCACATGTATGCGAAAACCCAGGGTTCGTTTCATGGAAATGAGCATTGTAAAGCAGAATGTCTACCCTTTTTGGCAGCTACCCGCGCTTTTTCAGAACACTAAAATGAGAATTCATGTAAATAAGAGTATTGACGTTCTTTCGTATTGCTTGAAGGGCCATGGAGGTAAAATCGCAGGGACTGCACAAATCGCAGAGTATACGAGCTATCAGAATGGGATATAAAGCTGGGTCGAATATTACTTGAGTCGCTTGCAGGCTGACGTTTTGTAAGTTTTGGTGACCGACTGAAAAACGTACAGTACTTCCGGAACACTTAAGCCAACAACTTGAGAAATTTTGTCATTCTGCGGCTTCAAAAAATATTTAAATACTTGTAGAAACATGAATTAGCCACAAGTGCTTTTGTAATTGAGACAGTGTCCATACCAGAACATCACTTCCATACTACAAGTTTCCTTGTAACCGAAGTTTCGAATTTTTGTACTTTGCAGGGAAAAGAGGTTACGGCAAATTGTGATTCATCCTATTATTAGATCACATAAGTGCTAGCGTGAAGGTGATTCACATTTGAGACGTATAAGGAATGAATCATATCTTGTCAGAAATATGAATGCAAAAAATGTGCAGTTATCTAATCTATATGAATAAGAGGTTTATCACAATTTTCCTTTTTCTAGGCAGTGTTGATAAAGACACAACTATGTCCAAAGTTTACGATCAGCTGAGGGTGTACAAAAAAAATTTCTTCTAGTTTTTGGTCGGGTTATTTTCGCTGAGTCAATTATAAACATATTGTTGGGTTGCATCACATATTATCCCTAAAGACCTTTCGATGACGATTTATGTTCGATGTGTTCTTCTGTTGGCACCACTTTGCCCAGGTATCCTCGAAATTTCCTAGCGCAATTATCTACTTTCATAGCGAAAACGAGAACGAGGAAAGATTATGATAGATGGTCAACAGAAAAGGAATGCTAGTGAGAGAAGGAAAAAATCCTCTGGAAGTCTTCTGTCCCTGTCCTTTTCTCTCGAAATGATTCATATTACATGCATACAAGCTTGTTTCTCGACCACAAAGCTCTCCATTATTGAATCATAAAAACTGTATTTTAAGTGATTTTGTTTCGAAGGTGTAGATTTAGTGAGCAAGAAGCCTCACCGGAAATGTTTTTGATATTTTGAATAGTGTAATAAGTTCTGTACCATTTTTGCTTTCGATTTATTCGAATATTCTGCGTAGTGTTTTGCAAAATGTAAATATGCATCTGAAAGCCCTAAGAATGCTCTACCAAAATATTCATTTCGGTTTTCTACCAGTAGAATTTTAAAAGTTTCCCAGCATTAAATCTGAAAACCAAGGAGGAATCCGTTTTCGACAGTTAATATATGAGTCATACCCCGTTTAGGTTAGAAGCTTACAAAACAGCTCAAAAAAACTGCTGAGCCAGTGAAGAATGCTAGAGCTTTTGTAGAGGTTTAAAAGTGCTGAAAGGTTTCAGAAAATTCTCCTTTAAACCCAAAAAAGTCTTCTTTCTAACGTCTCTGCAATGTTGACGGTGGACATCTGGAGGCAGTCCTGAGAAAGGACGGTAAACGGATACCGATACAAGCAGAAGGGTTGGTCTTCGGTTATAATCAAAATCATAAAATCATCGATTTCATGAGTTAGTTACTCAAAAATCAAATGTTTGGGGCCACACAGCTTAGATACGTGAGACGACGAAATTGGCACAACATTCTCATTTCGTCAATTTTTTGAAAAAATGACATCAAAAAGTCGGTAGAAGGAAGGAGGCAAGCACAAACAGTGACATTACAAACATAGGAGTCTAACAGGTTGTTTTGTTTGTTGTCAAGCTTTTTGAATAGAAGTTATTAATGGAAAAAAATTGGAGAGATGTCGAAAATGTCGAAGGTGGATTTTTTGCCTCCGCGGATTTTTCTTCTGATGCCAACAACAATCTTTTTCAGATGCAAAGTTGGTGGATGGCGCATATGAATGCAGAGCAGACTTAGGGCTTTCAAAAGCATATATTAGGTTGGTGCAAAAGTTCGTTCGCACCAATTTCAAAAATTCATAACTTCCGATTTTTCAAACAGTTTGGCTGCGTTTGTATGAAAGAGTACCTAATGCTCTTTACAATGACATCTTAGCTGCTTGCTAATGATCATCTGCTGCATAGATAGGAGCGATAAAATTTAGTCAAAATTTGAATTTTCTATGTAGGGTCATAAAAAATCGGAAACTTGCAAGAAAAATCGGAGCAGTCAGTGTTGTAGGTTCTTTTACCAGCTCTTTCTAATGATGCAAAGTTTGCATCGATTGAGCGTCTATATCAAAAGTTACGTTGATTAAGTTACGTTAAGTTAAGTTGATTTCCCTGAAAAATGCCAAAATAAATCAAATTCGCCCTTTTCTATTGCTTGCTCGAAAATCGTAACTTTTCATAGAGACGCTCAATCGGCGCAAACTTTGCACCTTTAGAAAAAGCTTGTGAAAGAGCCTACAATACTGACTGCTCCGATTTTTACCGCAAGTTCACGATTTTTTATGACCCTACACGAAAAATTCAAATTTTGAGTGATTTTGGTTTTGAGCTTTTATCTCTTTCATTTGTACACATTAACGAATAGCTCAGGTACAGGTGCAAAGAGCATGAGTTCCCCTCTTAAGCAAAATTTTGAGCGTACCAATTCGTTGAGAATTTAAGGAGTTATGAATTTTTGAAAATGGTGCGAACGAACTTTTGCACCAACCTAGTACATTGATAAAAAATTGAAGGACAAATGGGACAGAACTTATAACACAACCTAGCATGCTAATACCATACGAAAAATAATTCTATTGTAGCAATTCAGTAGATTGACTAAAATAGGTCTTAGTGCATTTAAGACCTGTGAAATAACGAAGATCATTAGCTCCATCTCCCTCAAAAACTTACTCAATCATTTCACCTCTCGTCTCAATTTTTTTATCTTGCCTCTTCTCCCGGGGAGAGTAGCCCTTATTTACACATGTCTTCGGTAACTTACCCCATGATGTCCTGCATGTACGAGGGATATCTAAACGTCTTATCGTCCTTCGCTTTTGGGTGGCGCATATCAGCTCCGGCCCTTTGGCACTCCAACAGGAAGGCGTTACCGTAATCCCAGAAGTGCATCCCTCGTGCGGCCAGCTTGTCTATGGCTGCAATCTGTCGCAAAAGACTGAAAGTGGATTAGCTGAAAGTCAGCGGAAGTCAGACAGATCTAGGACTACCTCTTCTGAACTAGCTCTTTGAAGCGATCCGGATCGGCGGTCATCATCACATTTGCTTCCTCAACGCTTATGCCAACTGGATAGTATCCGCCCAGGTAAGGATTGTGCAAAGAAGTTTGATCAGATCCAAGATCTACTAGATTGTCGGGTTCTTCAGCTAGGCGCTCCCTTCGAACAGGAATTGAGGTACAGATCAAACGATGTGAGAAAGGAGTTACCATAAATCCACAACGTTTCCCAAGTATCCAATGCTTCTGGTTTTCTTCTCTTTGCGATATTTTTTGATCATTTCGATTATCTCGTTTAGATCTGTAGAATATTCATCTAACCATCCCTGTTTGTGACGTTTGATCAATGCTTCTCCGTAAACCTAAAAAATAGAAAATGCAAAACCTGAAAATGCGGGGTATCCTCCGTATTTGTCTCGAAAGCAGTGTCTGTTCGACTCTGGGTGGAAGTTCTTTTATGAAAATTTTGACGACCTTACCAAGAAGTTGTGAGCTGCAGCTCATATGAGATTGTGGCCAGAATTCAATTCAGCTACCAACCCGGAGCCCTTCCACCGTAGTTGTGAAAGCTGATTGGTGCGCGTAGGTACACGAAGTTCAATTCAAAAGGAATGTATTATTTACTGTACTCCTATTCGCTTGAAAAGGGTACAGTCGGGCTGGAGCTACAAATTAATTTTTCAGCTATGAATGGACCAGTGGCGGTCCCAGGGTTTCAGTCCGGGGGCGGGGGGGGGGGGGCGGCAATCTCCAAGTGAAGGTGAAGCGAAGTGCATTCCGAAAATTTTTTAAGGGTCTTCACAAGATTTTTGAGGGCCGATGATATAAAATCTAGAAATAGGGGGCGGGCATCAGCCAAGCCTCCGAAAAAATTTTCAAAGTTAATTTGAATCTTTGAAAAAAGTTGAAAACTGTTTCTATTATTTACAAGACAAGTTACTTGCGCATTTTCTTGATTCGGGGGAGGGGGAGACCGCCCTTAGGTCGTCACTGAAATGGATCGTATACTACGTGAATAAATGGCTCGACGAAACCTTTAGTCAGTATCTACGTAAGACGAGGAAGTATCCAAATTTGTCGACACTACCGCTGATATGCCTAGCTTTTACTTTAAACGTTCATAAAACTCCGATCTTATACTGTGGTAAAATCGAGCTGAGATACAGTCGAGCAGACGTCGAAGTTTCGATGGATAACTTGTTGCAAAGGAATTTCAGTTATCTGCAACACGTGCAAAGCTTATCGCTCGTGACAGATTTTTATCGCACAATGCACAAAAGTTTTCTGCAGGAGTTCTTGGTTCCGGTTTCGGGATCTAGTGCTGTGATATAATCTTTTGCTCATAGTTTCTTCTGCAACCTGCCATGCGAAAATGATCTAGGGCGAATCAATTAAAATTGACGTAGAACAATCTGAAAGATTATAGAAGAGCGATAGATGGCAGCGTAGAGGATACAACAAAGCACAGATGTCACACGACGTTTATAAAAAAATTCAAACTCTTTGGATGATCAGAATTTAAGTATTATTCAGGATACAGCTTTTGTTAGCTCTACTTTGAACTCTGGTCATTCCAATACGAAAAGAGAATTATCCTATGACTACTCAGAGGGCTTCACTTCACTTTTCGAAATGATTCGGTAAATAGCGAAATTACCTCAGCAGTAACAGAAATACATCCAGCGATAGAAGCTGCTTTCGGTTGAGCACCGCTCATACCACCAAGACCAGCTGTGACGAATACTTTGCCTGCCAACTCGTTCACTTTCAAATAACGACGTCCAGCATTCATGATGGTGATCTTGAATCTTCAAAATCAGATATAGTAAAGCATATAGCAGTACATTACCGTTGTTCCATGGACAATGCCCTGTGGGCCGATATAAGCAAAACTACCAGCCGTCATTTGACCATACATTGTAACGCCGAGTGCAAACAACTTGTTGTACATTGGTTTTGTTGAGAAATTTGGAATCATCTATAATTTTCTGTTTTTAGGAATTTTCTTCCAGTTTTCAAAATTTCCTGCGCTGACCATTCCGTTTGTTATTGTTACTCTCGGCGCATCGGCGTGACTAGGGAACAAACCGAGTGGATGACCGGAATAAAGTACAAGTGTCTGTTCGGTGGTCATTTGCGAGAGATAGCGAAGAACAAGACGAAACTGTAAATAAAAGCAAATTTCTAATCTACACAATCTTTTTGACAGAGCTTTTGGGAGGGTTGATCCTGAGCTTCGTGGGTTTTTTCCCAATAATTGGGGGTTTTGTGTACTGAAAAACTCATAACGAGTCGTTGATGCAAAAGTGTCAGATTGTTCCATTCCCTCCCCCCCCCCCCCCCCCCCAGAAGAGATAAGAAGATCTTTTTATAGCATTAGGTATTTCTTAAAGTGCATATTTCGGAATTTAGGAGTTATAGAGTCAAAGTATTGAGAAACTTAGAAAATCATCATTCGTAAGAGCAACCCTCAGCCCGAATTTTTTTGCCGCGGGGAATATCATCGTAAAACCACAATCAAAACTAAAATCAAATCTTGCTTGGCCTTCAAGCATTTAGCAAGATGATCTCCGTGTTATGTCGCTTTGGATGTTTACTTGAGGCATATCAGAAAGTTCAGTTTTCTCCTTTTGGCTATGCTGGATCATAATTTTGGTGAAACCAAAAACTACTATTTAACAAAAAATTTTGGCACAAAACCATGGAGCAACCTAGAAGGAGCTGACTCTACTATTTATTACCACCGCTTCCGTCTCACCTGCATCCAATTGCTAAAAACTTGTCCATTTCCTCCATAAGTGACCAATTCCTGTGGGAATTGCGCTACGTCTGGGTCAAGATTGTTCAGTATCATCAGTATTATAGCTGCGGCTTGTTGGGATGTTGCATTTATGGCAGAAATTGGAGGAGACTAGGATAGAGTTGTACAGAAGGACATGAAGACTCGAAAGACGATTTTACTTTGAGGGTGAAGTTCGGCATGAAGCGGAAGGCGTAGATATGACCATACTTTTCGAGCTCTTCCGCAAACTCCTTGCCTAGCTGTTCGTGATGTTTTTTGGGAACGTAACGCAGTGCATTGCGTACAGCCAACTAAGGAACAACTGCATGAGTTCACTAAAAGTCGTGCAAAACAGAGCTTACAATTTTCTCGTCGCGATTTAGTGGACACGGTCTCTTTGGAGCATGTGGTACTGGCACGGCCCGCTGTTGGTGCGGATACTCTGGAAGAGGATCGAAGATGTCGACGAACAGGCTGCTCAGCGCCATGGCAAGTTTCTCCTTGGAAAGGGCAGTCGATGGCATAGTTTATAAGTGCTTGGAAGGTAAACGTAGATGTTGGGCAAGGGATCTGCACGTGACAGTAACTTGCTCGAGAAGGAGTTGAGAGACGTTCACTGCGCTGTTTTATTAGCGTGGCGACCTGTTTTGTGGCGTCGTTTGCCAGCATCGTGACGGTCATATCGGCAGCATCGGATCATCAAATGTCCAGTTTACCGTGCACGTACTGTAGGTAGGAACGGTCGATGTGGTATCACCGTAGTTGAAGGAAGTTCGCTCTTTTTTTTCACATCATAGTGACGGCACAGGAACACCGAATCACAAAATCGGTGTCGGAAACTGTAGTCCTAACCAGCTCCTTTCACCGAAAAAATTAAAAGTTGAATGTGATCCAATCGTAGATAATGTCAAAAACCGATCCTATATTTGAGAGTGACTTTTCAAGGTTTTCGGGCTCCGATATCTCTGAAAAGAAAGGCATCTCCTCGGTATTCAATTTATGATTACCATGCTTATTCTCTACGAGGATAAGTTGATGAATATTGTTGCCTTGTTCTCTAAATGATTTATTTTCTTTCAATAAGAGTGACCGAGCAGAAGAGTATTGCTTTCAATGCTCATGAAATCTCGTACATTAAAATTGATTGCACTCTGTTATCTTTGCACTAATGAAACGAGGTCGGTGAGTAGGAACAAAGTGTAAATTGGGAAGAAATTGACATTCCCATACTTTGGTATATCGGATGCTCCAAAAACTCAGACTTCCGAGGGGGGTTCAGCGAGAGAAAGAAGAGGACGCTGAATCCGAACTGAGGCGGTGCTCAACACTAACCCCTGGGGCCTTCGAAAACAATGCTGTACCATCACACTAATCTTTTTGCGAAATCACTTTTGACTGAGCAAGCCCAGACATACAAAGATTTATTAACGCGATACGGATGGAAATCAAAACCTTCAAAGTTGCCCCTGGCATGTACTACTGTACAATCCGAGCAAAGCGATAGTTTTTATGCTACGCTAGAGCCTGTATCAAAGTTTATAGCAGAAGTATCGTCTTTCGATGCAGCCACAGATAGCTCCTCAATGTAGTCCCTCTTCACCCAATTGTAAAAAGTTTGCGAGTTTTATACTACTTGGTTCTATTTTCAAAAGTGGATTAAGTTCCGTGTGTGCACGAGAGAACTCAGTTTTGGAAGCTTTTATATCAGAACTTTGGAGCCGCAATCTTAGCAGAAAAAAAAGCAAATTCATAAACATCCAAAAACACGAAGTTTTCCAGAAGCTGTATGTTTTTTTAACGACGATATGTTGGTATCGATTCTGAAACCTTATAATTTTTCGCTGCTTGTAGAATATTTTTTCATGAATTTTAGGCAAATCTTATAAAATAGTATGGATTTCTATCACTTTCCAAATATGCTAGTGGTACTGCTTAAAATCTAGACATTTTTTTCTTTCCGAAATACAATTTTTATTTAGTTGCAATGAACGGAAATTTTCATTCGATGAACGAATACCGAATACTTTTTTTTTATTTTTCGAATGAATGAGTATCGAATCATTGACTTTCAAGAATTTCTCGACTGAACGAATATTATTCGATCTCCGATTTTTATATTATTCGAATTCAAATATTCGAATATGGGTACATTCCAAAATTCGAACTTTCGAATATTCGAATAACCGAACTCAATCGATTATTCGATTTTCTAAAAATGAATGGATATCTGGATATCATCAAATTTCGAATGCATATTCGAATATTCAAACGCAAAATTAGCAAATGATTGTGGGATCACGTAGCCCGAGATGAAAGGTGATTCAGAAAACGGTGAACGTAAAAACCGAACAGAAAAGATAGATTAGCAAGCTAATGTGCGCATAATGTATCAAGACTCGTTATAGACTCGCCATTTTCGGTCATGAAATTGAGCTGGTCCCATTTTATCCTCGCTTGTACATAAGAGGTATTCAAATCCTCGTTTTGATAAGCATGGTAATCACAAACGCCCCATCGTGCATGCAAAGGTACGGAAAAGGTGCGCCGTATCGGATACCGTTTAGAGCATTTGCCTCTTTACATTCTACCCAATTTGATAATAGAATTAAGAAGAGATGCGATGTTCTCATTACTTTTGACTCACCCTAGTAGAAGCGCGATATACATGTAGATAGATTTGGCAAGACCCTCTGTGCAATGATCGAGCACAGTCGCGCTGAATCATAAGGCTGAACGCAGCCTAAGACCACAATAGGATCTCAGCTGTATACTTGCTGATGTATTTGAAAAGCGCATATTCAAGTTCGTATTTTTTCCTGAGAAAAAAAGTTCCACTTAAGGACCACAGTTTTGAGTAGTCATTACTCTTTTGCAACATACACCCCAACTCAAATGTTCACTCTGATTAGAAATGCTTTCTTTTTAGGGTGCGGGAAGTTTCTCACCCGAGCCATACTCTCGCAGTGATGTGCCTGCCAGGCACATTCGAGCTCGCTACAATTACGAGCTTCTCAGGAAACCAAGACATCGCAAGTCCCGCCCCTCATTTAGTGTTCGCTCCAGATGACGAAACCGGAATTTCAAAGAAACTTTCAAAATAGAGGTTCAGGAGTGACTTTGCTCCAATCAAGACCAAATTTCGGATTTAGGGGTTTTCGGGGTTGCTCTTTTCAGTAGTGTGATTTGTTTGTTCAAAGTCGACGTTCAGCACCTATGATGCTAAACCAAGAATAAAATTCGGATTTAGAGATTTTCAATTTTCTATTTCAGTACAAGACCAAAGCTCAGGTTCAAGGGTTCTCGAAATCGCTTTTTCAATAACGGTATATGTTTTGTGCAATATCAATAGGACTTGTTTTTGGACAATTTTTTGGAGAAAAGATACGAATTAATTTACACGTACCATTTCAAGGTTTGCTTTAATCTATTTTTATTTGACCATTTTGGTATTCTGGACTAAATTTTATATAAATCCATGCCACGGTTGTTTTTTCAATTGTTGTCCATTCATAAATTTCGAGAACCCTTAAACCTGAGTTTTAGTCTTGTATTGAAACAGAAAATTGAGAACCTCTAAATCCGGATTTTAATCTTGGTTTAGCATCATCGGTGCTGAACGTCGACTTTGCAACAAACAAATCGCACTACTGAAAAGAGCAACCCCGAAAACCCCTAAATCCGAAATTTGGTCTTGATTGGAGCAAAGTCACTTCTGAACTTCAATTTTGAAAGTTTCTTTAAAATTCCGGTTTCATCATCTGGAGCGAACACTAAATGAGGGGCGGGCTTGCGATGTCTTGGTTTCCTGAGGAGCTCGTAATTGTAGCGAGCTCGGATGTGCCTGGCAGGCACATCACTTAGGTGCGAGAGTATGGCTCGGGTGAGAAACTTCCCCCCCCCCCCCCCGATGCATAGAATTCGATGCATAGAATGCTGATTTCAAAACTGTCTTCCATATCTGCAGAGCGCCTTTCTAGGCGAAGTTATGGGCAGCTTTACTGCGTAGAAATCGTACACAACAATTGCGAAATCATTCACATTATTGCTCTTTCGCTCATCACTAGGCCCATGTGAAGTGAGCCAGTGCATGTTTTAGTTCAAAACTGAGCTGAGCATGGCTTTGTACAGCCAAGTTTGACCTTTACACGTATAGGTCATTCATCGCACGCAAAGAAGGACGTCACTACGGGCACCGTCGGCGTCTCGCTGATCGAGCGCTCTTTCACCTCTCTCGTCGTCTGCTGTCTCTCCCATGGCGAACTATCTTGGTCGGACGCAACGGCGTCCAGTCTTTGCGTGCGATGAATGGCCTATACAATTTCTTAGCAAAATAATGCTTTAGCGCCTTATAATTTCATCCACAAAATGTTCTGCAGATATGAAGGCAAATTTAGAATCAGCGTTTTATGCTGCATCTAATGGTATGGAGTTTCAAATTGGCCACTTCCATTTCTGACAATTCCCTTGTCGGAGTCTTTCTATGAAAGATATAAAATGAGGGTTCAACAAACATCAACACGGATTATTTCTGAGAAAGGTATAAAATGAGGGTTCACCAAACATCAACATCAGAATATACATGAGCGCTGACAACAGTCAATCTGTAGAGATGCTCGCAAGGAAGGCAACAAACACTTTGGAGCATGCAAGTGGACAACCGATCTTTTCTTATATTAACATATTGCATAGATATGTAATGCGGTAAGTGTTGGATTTTCTTATTGGCTGGGAGAAATGGTGGGTTCATATTCATTTTTTGTGTTCAAAAAAGGCTCTGTGTTGGATTTTCAATAGTTGCAATTCCCCTGTTACCCGGTATACTACCATATAGGTCAGAGGTGCAAGGTCAGAGTGTATTTGCATGCAGTATTAGGAAATCAGTGCGCTTGACTTCTGTAGAACATTCCGAAAACATCTATACTGTTTTTATAGTTGTTGTATTACTCTGCTACTAGAGTTTTGTTATTGCAATCTATCGACATTCAATACCCGATTCTGATTGATGAATCGCGGTGGTATTGCGGACACACGTCGGTGAGAGATCCATAGACTCCGACATTGGGAGGGGCCTGGGTAAGAGGTTCTTTATAATCGATCGGATTGAGTAGGACAGACATGGCAGTATATACCTAGGACAGTGGCGTACCCAGGATTTCGGCTCGGGGGGGGCGCGACAAAAATTTTTTTCTAAAGAAGGTGCGTGGCGTTAGCCACGCACTCCGAAAAAATTTTGGGGGTGCTTCCCAAAATTTTTTCGGGTCCCCGACCCCTAAAATCTGGAAAAAGGGGGCGTGGCGTCAGCCACGCCCCCGAAAAAATTTTTTTTACAAGGCTAATTTGAATTTTTAAAAATTTTTAAAAATTATTTTAATTATTTACAAAATTGAACAAGTCACTTACACATTTTTACAACCCATATAAGTAACTTTCAAAAATTTTGCGACCCATTCTCGGGGGGGGCGCGCGCCCCCCCCGCCCCCCCCCCCCTCGGTACGCCACTGACCTAGGAGACACGCGACGATGGATCAGCATAGGTGCGATAGGGGAGCTGGGCCCTCTCTGGGTGAACGGGGTCATGGCTGCCCCCTTCAGAGCTGAAGGGCGTTTTCGAAGCCAGGAAGGGTAATGCTCCAACAACCTACGTACC